TGGGCAAAGCTTGTCACGTCATACTGAAAAAGACTTGAGGCTGTAATTGCTGCCAAAGGTGCTTCAACAAAGTACTGAGTAAAGGGTCTGAATACTTAAGTACATGTGATATTTCAGTTTTTTCTTTTTAATAAATTACAGGCATTTCTAAACTTCTGTTTTCACTTTGTCATTATGGGGTACTGAGTGTAGATTAATGAGGAAAAAAATGAATTTGAACAATTGTAGTATCAGGCTGCAACATAACAAAATTGAAAAAAGTGAAGGGGGTCTGAATACTTTCTGAATACACTGTATTTCAAAGTCTTTGTATGTTTGTAGTATCAGGCTGCAACATAACAAAATTGAAAAAAGTGAAGGGGGTCTGAATACTTTCTGAATACACTGTATTTCAAAGTCTTTGTATGTTATGTTTAGATGCAATAAAGGCCAAGACAAATTTGTTATACGCCAGAACAACATCCAACTTATGTGTACATGTGTTCCAATGAAATCAATGGACTAAGGGCAGAACTGAAATCTCTCTCTCTCCTTACACACAATTATGATATGACTTCTCAGTCATTGTTGACTCCTGGAGACTGCCTGGACAAGTCCCTGCAGTTTTCTTGGCATGATTTTGGAAGTGGTTTGCCATTGCCTTCTTCCTAGGGCTGAGAGAGTGACTGGCCCAAGGTCACCAGTTGGCCTTGTGCCTAAGGCAAGACTAGAACCCAGAGTCTCCTGGTTTCTAGCCTGATGCCTTAACCACTACATCAAACTGGCTCTCTTACATGTTGTATGACTTCCATAACACAACCCTATTTCAAAACCAACTTACTGCATTTAAAAACCTGCCCCAAATACTCCAGTTCTCCTTGCAAAAAACAAACAATGTAATATCTCTGGGAGGACATGTGAGATTTTTGTTCCTGCCTAATCCCCCAAATGAACGAAGGGAAGCTACAGAAGAACAGTTTTGTCAATGGGCTGTATCTTAAGCTCTTAAGATATAGATATAGACTTCACTACTTTTGAGTCAGGAGTCCCAATAAATAACATTCAGTCAAGTTCACCTGTTCACTTGATGACGGCAGCTTGTGGGGATCCATAGTGAGGCTTTTTAGATCTTCTGATATGGTCTGTAGATGAGTTATTTCTCCCAACATTGATATTTCTTCTTCCTGGAAGATTTTTTTTAAAATACAAATCTGTTATTATTAATGACTATTGAGTTGTATTGCATATTCAGTTCTGTCAACTTCAACATTTTAAGAGTATGCTCCTGAGGACACTCTCTTAGAAATCAGTGCAACATGGATTACAATAGGGCAGATCTGTATTTCTCCAACATTGCTCTCACAACACTGATGTGTATCTTAAAACATGCTACCAGGAGCTATGAAATCTTCTTACCTATCTCTAACTGAATTTGGGGAGGGATAGTCCCTAAACTCATGGTTTGGGGAGGGAGGGAGGAAGAGATCATTTTATTTACATACATATAGTAAACTCTCTGGAAATTTTGAATGGGAATGTGATCTACAGATGTTTTCATAGCCATGGAGTCGTTCAACAGCACACATCCTAGTCATGTCTCAGGCACTCTCGCTTTCTCTTGCTTCTATGAGATACACATCCAGTATTGAGATCAAATTTAAAAGGGGTCTTTGAACAGAACAGATTCATTTACAGGTGAGCTAGCTAACAAAGCAAAGAGAAGAACTAAGTAGCAATTCTCTCACTTCCACCATGCTCAATAGCTATTCCATCTATTCTATTTTTCTATTCCCAATTTCCCAGGACACCCTATGCAAAAGGTCTCTATTGTTTTCAAAAGAAATTACTTCCTTGTCTGGAAGATGGAGGTGGATGAAAGGAAACTGGAAACAGCTTATGAGAATTCTGTCCCAGGAGTGTGGACTGTCACTTAATTTGCAGTTTTCAGTGCTGAGCAAATCATTTAAAAAATTCCCAGCTTTCAAAATCTGTGATTATCTGCAATTCTTAACCAGCTATTTTATACTTTTCATGTATTTGTTTAGAGTGAAAGGCTACAAAGAAAATGTTGAATAAATAAATCTAAGGGTATACAGGGAATTATAAAAGGACCAGGTAAATAAAATAAAACTGAAATGAATAAATAGGAAGGCCTTTTAAGTGTCAAAACTTCACTGCATGTCCTTAAATCAATCTCATAAAGGTAGGCCATTATTATCCTCATATTGCACTGTGCACGAACCTCATGCTCACCAACGAATGAGATATTTTACTCTGTATACCTATATATGTCCACTGAAGTTCTACTGAATTCAAGAAAACATATTCTGAAATAAGAATCTAAGGCTTGATACCATGTTACATCAACTGTCAGAAGAGAATAAAGCATTTCTGGACCATTAAGTGACGCTTTCCGCATCTTGATCATCAAATCCAGCCATATAATTCTTCAGAAGATCCCTGAAATGCCCCATAATATTCTTCAGAGAACCCCCTTTCATGGTGTGCATAAAAGAGAGGACCTTCACAGCAGTGGCTCCTCAAAAGATGGACCAGTAGACTTAATGCAAAGCCCTTTCAAATATTTTTACTGAGACAGCCTATGAAGGTCTTCCTTTCTAGTTGCTGATTTTCATATTCAAAGCAACATTTACAGTATGTTGCATATTGTTTTATGTGTACTATCTATCTCACCTTGTCACAGTCCTTTTGTGCATAAGTGTGTGAAGAAAGAAGCATTAAGTAGGTTATGAATACTTAAAAATACATAGGAATCAGGAACACAATATTTTACTATAGAAATACTTTACTCCTTCAAGGACTCACGTTTGTTTTCATGCAAGTGAACGATAAGAGTTTGGAATGGAACTCACAATTACAGGACGCAGCATAGAAATAAATGAACAGAATCGGCCACGCTCTTCAATCAGTGCTTTTCTAACAGCCTGTTTCTCCGTTTCTTCAAGAAGAAGATATTTATCATTCACATCCTGCAATGCACTGTCCAGCTGAGGTTGGATATCTCCTCTACCTATTTACAACAGAGGAAAGCAAAAGCCATTTCAAGCCAAGCAATTCTCAGTAAAGGCTGTGAATATTTACAGGTAGTCCTTGCTTAACGATAATAGGGACTAGAAAATTTGTTAAGCAGGGCAGTTGTTAAGCAAATTGTGCTTGATTTTACAACCTTTTTTACAGTGGTCATTAAGTGAATCACGCAGTCGTTAAGCAAATCACATGGTTCCCCACTGATTTTGCTTGTCAGAAGTCAGCTGGGAAGGTCACAAATAGCAATCATGTGACCCCAGGACGCTGCAACTGTTGTAAGTGCAAGCTGGTTGCCAAGCGCCTGGATTGCAATCATGTGACCGCAGGGCTGCTGTGACAGTTGTAAGTGCAAGGATCCTTTTCCATAAGTCCTTTTGTTCAGCAATGTTGTAACTTTGAACAGTCACTAAACAAATGGTTGTTCAGTGAGGACTACCTATATATCATTTTCTTCCATGCAGCCAAACTCACAAGCATGGCAATGTATGCACACATCAAATACTTTCTATGGTTGGCTGACACATCAAAGTCAGCCAATGTTACCCTGCCTAAATCGATAGCAATGAATTTCATCTTCAATTTAAAAGGAGGATTCTAATGCAACTTTATACAAAGCATTCTTGTATTTTTATTCAGAAAATAAAAAGAATAGATAAAAAGAAAAGATTCAAATTTGCCTTTCAGGCAGCAACCGAAGACAAGATGACAAACATCTTATCTATTTTGATTTAGATGGTAGTTTACCAACTCAGTTCAGGGGAACCTTGATGGGGTAGCTTTTCAGGGCTTTCTTAAATGAAAAGATTATTGGACAAGCTTTTGGGGGACACAATAAAATTAGATACAAAGGTTTTTCCTTACTTCCTTATAATTTTAGAAATGAGAATCACTCAGTAAAGCTGAACAGTGTTAGTACTAAAGCAGCACATTTTATATAAGACACAGATAAATGGTCAGGCACATTCTTAGTTAGCCAATTTAGGTAACTTTAAAATGGAATTGATAGAATAAGGCTATTGATGGTGACTATCATGATGGTTATATGCTTCCACTGGGATCAAGGGCATACAATCCTCAATTTTAGTTAGTGGAGAACAATTCCAGCAGCAGATGCCTACAGAAAGCTTCCAAGCAGACATAGGAGCACTAGAATGCTGGATGAGATAGGTCTTCTGGGCAGACTTTTGTTTGATTCAGCAAATCAGATTTTACATTCTTATGAAGACGGACAATAAGAAGGCAAGCAATTGTCTTCTGCAATACACAGCCATGAGAGAGAGAGTGCAGGTTGCTCCATGGTATACTATGAATCGATACAGGGCAATGCTGAGGTCCAAGAAGGCAAGACAAAGTGTCTTGTTTAACATGGAGAGCTGTCTTCTACCTTATCCCTCTTTCCTAATAATGTATCTTATTCTGACCTACACTGGATTCCCAGGATTTCTGCTAGAGGTTTTTCCTATTACCTGTGCCTTGTTTCTCTTAACTAAAAATGCCAGGAATTAATTTGCTGTCTTCTTCATACAGAGCATTTATACAACCAGATTATGTGACCATATACCCTAAAGCAGCGCTTCCCACCTTAGCAATTTTAAGATGTGTGGACTTCTTGCTGGCTGGGGAATTCTGCGAGTTCAAGTCCACACATCTTAAAGTTGCCACGTTTGAGAAACACTGTCCTAGAGCATAAACCTGAATCTTATCCAGAAGCTTAGGGATAAAACGCAAAGACTGATGGAAGAACAATTCTTTGAAAGTAGGGAATTTGGAGACTGACCTATATGAAGGTTATGCAACAACTCTTACTGAAGGATTTATGGTCCTTCCAGGGATAAGTCAGAGGCCAGACACTGCTCTGAAAAACAGATGCCACCCACCCCCAATTTAAATCACTCCTGCTTTATAAACAAAATTTGAATAACACAGTAAAGATTGGTGTATGCTGTGGGTATGTGCTTGTCCATATATATATGTGTATATATGTCCTGACTCTGCAAATTTTTGATGAAGAGGAAGAAGAGAATCTTACCAAGAAATACACATTTCAATAAACAGGCAAACTAATTCAGTTGCAACATTACAAAGAATTGCAAATATTTATATTTCTAATATATGAATAGTGTTTATCTCCTGCAAAATTCCATTTCAGCAATATTATAATATTCTAATGATATATTATATATTATATTATTCTGATATACTAATAACATGTTATGAAGTTTATATTTAATTTCCAGACCAATTACTGTATCTAAATCCTAGTTAAACATTACCCTTGGTGGGCATATTAGGAATTGTTGTAAAGAGGCATTAATACAATCAAAGATGTCATGAGACATGGAGTGCCATATAAAATGTATTGCAAAAGAGGGCAACCTGAAACTGTGAGATTGTTCAGAAGGCTTATTGTGAGCTTGAGTCCATGGATTAAAAATGCAGCCTGTGGCTAAACAAAAATGTTCAATGAGGTTTCAGCTGTAGAATAATATGGATTAAAAAATACAGAAGTGAAGGAGGAGGATTAATATTCTGAACCCCAGGTACGCTGTGTCTGTGTTCATACAACATGTTTAACCAGGTCAAATAAACACTTAGTAATTATATTTACACAACAAGCTAAACTTGATTGGTGTTAAGTCTGGTTATGACTTTTGGGAGGTTTAATATGTAAAGTCAGGCAATTTAGTTAATTTAAGTTTCAGTGCATTGTGCAAACCTTGAAAATGGGTTTATTCTGTAAATACTTGAAGTGTGTTATGGGAATGCAATCACTAACTCTTCATATGTTACTTCACTTCCTTTACCCCAACAATTCTTTTAACCCTCCCCCTCCTCCAAATCCTACTGTTTTTGTATCTTCAGTCATCACACTCTTACAACTTAAGGGCCATATCTAATGCAAGAAGCTGAGGGGTCAAGCAGCAATTGCTAAAGCCTTGATTCCACTATGGAAGCCACCAACCAAGAACCAGGCTTGCCAGCTTGATTCCACCTTAGAGTAAGAGGCCTTTAGAAACAAATATTCCTGAATCAATCACCAATCCTGTCTCAGTTCCCCACCAAGGAACGATTTTCCTAGGTCATGGTGTTCAAAGTCAGTCAGTCATCCACCACTCACCTTCAAAAGAAAAGTTGGAACCAGAATTGTTCAGAGTATCATTGATGATGGGAATACTATTTCCTACAGACTTATTCAACCTCTACTCTAGTGAAGGTTACCTGCAATTTTTAAGACCCACATAAGATATATCAATTGTTAGCTGAACTGCAAAGAAAAGAACAACTAAACTGAGCTTAGGCTGGAGTTATCTGGCTACTCAAGTGCAACTGTGCATGGCAGAAGTACACACCTGAAAATACTAAATCATAGCTAAAGCCTTAAATCTCCTGTTAAGTGCTGAGAGATGCCATATGAATGCAACTAGGAGCTTACGTTTACAGGGGTTTCAAATCTGCGGTCCAATCAATTTCGTATTATTCAGGATGGAATTTAGGAAGACATCAACTTCAGGTTCTTATTTAATATTGGTATTATTAACTAGGTAAAAATCAGTGTCACTTGCAACAGATCTTGGAAGCAAAAGTCCTAGCTTTCCATCTACATACTGTATACGGTTGGCTCAACCGAAGTTCTCTTTGTCAAATTTCACAACGAAGTTGCTTTTTCAATATGCAGCATATTCACAGCATTTAAAGGATCTCCTTCCATAGGTTATAGGTTAAGTTACAGCATATATGTATACCACTTACTTTGTTCCACCAGCACATATAGCAATTCACTCACACCTATCCATTACTTCTCCATTATTTCTGAGAAAAGCCATTCAGAATGCCAACAGAAGGAAAAGGAGAAATATATCAGACCAAGTCAGGGACAGCAGATAAGAAAGCCTGAATCATAATCTAATTTGATATGCATTTTCTAGAATGGATAAGCAACATGGTGTCTATGGCACCTGTATGCTCACGAACATATTCCTTGATGCCTCCTTTTACAACCTGACTCTATTTTTTTAAAGGATACATTCAGTTAAGGAAAAGAACAGGAAATGGGCATATTGCACAACAAAACACCAGCCTCCAGCAATCATTTCATTTCCAAGAAAATCTATGGACCCTGCAATGTAATGCTGTGCCTCAAAATGTGTTCCTTACTCCTGCAATAAAGATGAGAACTTGACTGAGAGCATTTTGGAGGACCAGATAAATAAAGTTGGTAGGGAGCAACTTCATCAATATGTCCTGTAATAAATGGGGAATCTGTGATTGCCCATATATACCATGGAAGTCATTTTGGGAGAGTACCTATAACAAATATCACACACAATTCAAGGCAAGGTTGCTTTTTTTGGTAGTAAAATGGATATAATGCAGTATGTTTTACTCCTCTTAAATTTATGAGATTATTCCATGAATTAATTAATCCAGACTTTCAAGACTAGAAAAGCATCAAAGCTGCCGAGAAGCAACAGGAAACTCGGCATGAGAAAACGCCAACTGATCCAGTAAGATCTTTCTGTGGCCTATAAAAACCACTGATTATGAGATACTGAGGAATATGAGAAGAATTCCTTAAGTATTTCATACACAAAAAAGCACTTTCTGTTTTTAAATTCACAATGTAAGGTGTATCATGTGTTTTATATTTTTTCTCCCCAAAGCCTATCTCATTTCAGCCCCATCATTATCATGGTAAGAGTAATCAAGATTAATTGCCACCAATTTCTAATGTAGTGAGTTTATATTTATTAATAATCAAAGTATAATGTGCAAGTGATTTAAGGTAGAAGAGAGGGTACTTTTAAGATCAAGGGATTACAGAAATTAACCATTTTAGATTCTACAGACATTAAAAGGTGTCTAGTTTTTAAACAGTCTGCTAGGAGATAGTAAAGATCTTCAGAAATTTCTGGGTGACCCATTTCAGCTGGGCAACTGGTCACCTGACACAGTCCTAAACACACAAATTAAAGTCTGCTGCTTCAATCTATTATGATCACTTTGCTTATGAAAACTGGTTGCAATCTTAGTAGCAAAAACGCGCACCCACTTTCTATGGCATTCACCATGAAAAAGCAGATGTGGTAAACTGAGGAACCTTAGCATGTTCAGTAAGATACAGAATACCATATTTTTAGCCACAAATAGAAGTTTAGTCTAGAAAGTTCAATAATCTAACATCTGATGACAGAGGGAATATTTTCAATTTCTAGAAGGTGAGCTACTGCTTGTATTTACTTCTGGATAAAGAAGATATGGACCTTATGCCTCCTTGCTCTTAGATTGCAAGCCTCAAATAAGCTTTAATTAGGAAAAGAAGTCTAGGCAGCTAGTAGACACTAGAACCATAAAGTGACCACAGCGAGAATGACCCCAACCAGCCACCAGGGAGAGAGTGCAGGGTGAGACTTACCCAGTGCCTCTGCTGTCAAGAAGGTGAGCATGATGGGAAATAGCAGGATACAAAAATTGACACAAAAAAAGGAAAATAAAAGAAGTCAAAACCAGTGTTCCAGCACTCCTAGGGTTCAATCATCATTCTAAGTTTGAAGAGAAGCAAACTGATCACAACTCCTTTATTCATTTTTCCAACAAAATCTTTTGTATAGGCCTTTTCGTAGTTAAGGGTCAAGTGGGGAAGGTGGTCCTTCAACTCTTTACGTGTCAACTCAACCTGATACAGATTGATGAATTAGAACAGGAACCATAAAAAAAGAGACATTAGAATTATCATATTCTGATCCTTCAAATCACAATTCAGAGGGTCCCTTTTAGTTCACACATTCTGGCTCCACCCTCCATTTGCAATCCTTTGGCCAAAGTTAACCATAAAATACCACCAAAGCAGAAGTACAACTGGTGCCAGGTCCTATGCTAGAATTTGAAAATGATCACATGAAATGGATTTGCAAACGACGGTAACTAATTGAACATTAAAATTTGGCACTAGGCCTTCCTGGTTCAAATGTCAGGAAAAATTATAGTTAGAGAAATAGAGGGGGAAACTGGAAAGCATGTTAAATCTTCAGTAAGTGTCTCGTCATTGAAAACAGGCTTCAAACAGCTTTCTCAAATCTCTATCCTCTAGGTAAACTGGATTATAAGTACTATTATTCAGCATGCTACCTGCAAATTACAGGATACTGCTAGGAATTAAGGAACTTGCAGATCAATACACCTGACAGGAAATTATTTGGAAAAAGCTGGTTTAGAAGATAGTCTGAATTGAACCATCTGGGAGAGGGTTCTGTTTTTGTTCTTCTCATCCAGATGTTATCTTATGGATCTTCATCTTTTTCTATGTATATAAAATATGAAATCTTTCACATATAAAACCTAACTGTGCAACTAGAATAAATTATGCAATTAGAAATTAGCATATGGCTGCTTAAAACCTGTATAGGTAATTTGGAAGTGTGTAGGTAGCAGCAAACAAAGTACTTGGAGAAATAATTAGGAAACCAAATTCCTGGAGATTGGAATCCTCACATATCATGTTAGGCAGATGGATATTTACAAGTTCTTGACAGCAACTCCACAATGGGAAGTTCTCAAAACATAAACAATTACTCTCTATTATGTATGATCTAGAAGTATATACGCAATAAAAATATTCTTATTCCCGCAGGAAGAAATGGCAATAATGTGATTCGTGCAAATATTTGTAGCCTCTTTGATAAGGTCTTTTCAAATCAGCAAAAGGTGGCAACAGCTTTTTTTTTTTGGTTATTTATGCAGAGAAAGTATGTACATGCTTATGCAATCCTTCTACAAAACTATCCTTGTCCAATTTCTTTCTTGCTTTTAAAGATTAACACCCATAACTCCCAAGTAAAATTTCCCTGAAATATTTTAATGCTAAAGTTTGCACTTATGTTGGGTGAATTAGTTTTTCTTGCAGTACATGAAATCTTGCTCAACTACAGGCAGTCTTTGGGTTATGGTGCCAATTGGGACTAGAATTTTTGTCGCTTAGCGATGTGGTTGTAAAGTGAGACATCACATGACTGCATTGCTTAGCGATGGCAATCCCAGCAGTCCTGGTTGCCATTGTAACCCAAGGACTGCATGGGTTATTAAACAGGAAGAGGCGGAAGTTCCTGGCAAGCAGGTGAGCACCGCAGATGAGAGCTATGGGAGAGGGGGGGTGCCACAGACAGACATTAGGGACTATGGGTGGGTGGCTGTGGTCATAAATGTGGGCTGGCCACGGGGGTGCTAAAATGGCCAGAACTTTGAGGACTGATCATAAGTCCATTTTTTCAGCACCGTTGTAACTTTGGTCGTTGAAAGAACGGACATAACCCAAAGACTACCTATAGAACTACTAAATCCCCAGACAGCACGGCTGAGAAACTAAGTGAGCTGTAGTTTTATAGACACGGGTATCCATATAAAATCATATTCAATGGACCAACAAAAGCTGAAGTGTCTAATTAAACTATAAATCCAGTATTTCGCTATTCAAAATAATTAATAACATTTAATAATTACCTAAGATTTAATTTCGGCTGAAGATTAGCAAAGCAAAAGATTACCACAATAGTGAGGAGGCCACCTAGTAACCACAGAACAGCCTTGATTAATTTTACTTCTTAAAATAATACGGTGGAAAATGTTTAGGGAAGAAATGCATAAGACAATAATTTGTTTTAGAGGTAAGACAAAATTTCCAAAGGTGAGTATTCATGATTGTTTGAACTAAAGGAAACTATGCATCCCCCCAGGAAATTATGTTGAATAAAAATACAGATCCAAGACTACTGAAGAACTTTCTATGTTGTTGATAAGCAAATAAAAGTGTAATGAAGGAATTAATATTATATAGCAGTTTCTTAATTATACAGTCATGCATCCTCTGAGATTTATGCTTTGTATAGTTCTGAATGCAAGATTAAAAACAAAGTTTGGATTACTGCAATGCGCTCTACATGGGACTACCCTTGAAGAGTATCCAGAAGCTACAGCTGGTGCAAAATGCAGTGGCATGGACAGTTCTGAATGCCCCAGGGGGGCACATATAACACCTCTGTTACGTGAGCTGCATTGGCTGCCGGTTTGCTTCCGGGTCCAATTCAAGGTGTTGGTTATTATCTTTAAAGCCCTTCATGGCACAGGACCAGACTATCTGAGGAGCTGTCTTATCCCTGTTATATCAGCCTGCCCCACTCAGTCCGGCAGAAGAGGCATGTTGCGGACCCCACAGTCAAAGAGTTTCAACTCGTGGGGTCTAGGAAGAGGCCCTTTCCTGCCGTGGCCCCTGCTCAATTTACCACCTGAGGTGCGGTGTGCCCCCACTCTCATGGCCTTCAGGAAGAGTGTGAAATCTTGGCTATGCCAGATGGCCTGGGGGCCGGATGGGGGCTTGTGCCATTGGAATTGGCTCATGGGGTAATTGATTCCACCCCCCGTCATCTTGAATGTTTTTAGTTTTTTTAGGTATATGGTCTTTTTATATAGTAC